GGGGCACCCCTCCTTCCCTCCCCACCCCAAGACCCGGTTGTGTCAGCAGGTTTGGGGGGGGGGGGATGTCCCAGGGAACTAGACATTCAACCTTGCAGTTGATTCTTTTACTGCCTCCGTCCGGTTTGTATGTTTTAAATTTATACGGTGCTTTTTCAAACATTTCCCCATGCCTACGCGTGCTTTACAGATTGTTGCACGCAATCCAGCATCACTTTTGGACGCCAGATCAACGCGGCAAACTCAACACTTCCCGCTCTGAATCCAAGGACGTTTTTAAGGGTGTCGGAACGGAGATGCAAACTGGCTCACTCTCTCTCTCTCTCTCTGACGCAGGCTGTAAAAGGCAGCTTTCAATTCTTTCCATTAAGGCTAATTGTAGATCGCCAGGTGGGATGACACTCTGGGCCGATTGGCACAAAAACTGCTCTGCCAGCCCACCCACCCAATTTCCCTCCCGAGGCGAGAAACCACACACACACACACCCCGGTCCCCCGCACCCCCTGGGAAGACTCTGCTTCATCCCGTTGCACTCCGAGAAGATTAAACTCGGCTCTCCTTCATCTCCTCTCTCTTTCTTTGTGCTATTTTTCAAAAGAGAGCAATCTCCTCCTGCAAGTTTGACTCTTGAACTCGAGTCTTGCCTTTTTTTTTTTTGTCTCGGGTGGGGGGGGGGAATAAAAAAGGAAAAAGGAAAAGCAATCCAGTTCACACATCTCTATCTTTTAAGAGGCATCTGACTTGCAAAGCAGAAATACAATCGATCGAAGCTCCGAAGCTCCCAGACGGGATGCTATGAATGGACTGGGAGGGAGGCTTTCCAGAGCCTCCCCCTTTCCCCACGCGGCCGTCTCGGGAGGAAATGTGCAGCGGCAAGCGTCCGGGCGGGGCTGAGCCCAGCCGCTCAGGACTTGAAGACGTGAACGGCCCGAACGACAAACTGGCGGCAGATCGGACATTCGCTCATCCGCTTCCCGCACTTGGTGCAGGCGACCATGTGGCCGCACTCCAGCAGCACGCAATCGATGACCGCGTCCATGCAGATCCGGCAGAGGTTGTCGTCCTCGTCGGTCAGCGGAGGCTTCTCTCCTTCTGCCAAGGAGCAAACGGGCACGGTTAGTGGCGGGGACACAGGAGGCGTTGCTTTTACTGACCCGGTTTATGTCATTAAGGGCAGAGGTCCACCACCTACGGCAACTGGGGGATAGGGACTTTCGGCCGCTAAGCGGTGGAGCACGAGGCATTCAAAGGCCTCGGGAGGGAAATGGAGCGCGCCCCGCCTTCCCTCCCGCGAACGAACGCACGAGACGGGCAAGAGAAAAAGCGGGAAGACTCACGCAGCCGGTGATTCGTCTGGTTCTCCCTGTAGAGCCGGCTGACTTTTTCTACCAGTTCCCATTTTTCGCAACATCCCGAATAGTTGACAAAGTTACAAGCCAGGATTTCTTTCAGCTGCCGGACGGTCAGCCCTTCCACGTCATCGAGGCTGGAAATATCGGACAGCGAGGCCCTGGCACGCTTCCTGGACTGGCCCGGAGTCTGAAAAAAGAGGTGTTTTCCATGAGAGAGAGAGAGCCAGAGAAAGCCATAGGTGCTGCGGAGTGGGCCAGGACAATGGAGAGCCAAACCCCCAGTGATTTCTCTTCCTCCCCCACCACCCAAAAGGGTGTACTGAGGCTTCCTGAGAGCCTGAAGCCAACTCCTGGTCCCGACAAAGCCCCCCTCCCCTTTATTAATTTATTGTGAATTTTGCTCCTTCACATCCAGCAGTCTTTCAAGGGGGGATTTACGGTCACAGACCTTATCTGGCTTGGAGAGCTGCCAGGCCGATCTCTGCAGAACTTGGCAAGGCGCCTCAGAGAGTCAAGAACCAATTAAGCGAACTAATGGTCTCCTGCAAACTCCTCTCTCCTTTCGCTCCTCTTTTATTTCCTTTGGGAGGGGCCATTCACTGTCCCCCTGCAGCCTTCCTCCCTGTTCTTTAGCTGTTCCCTTCATCTGGCAATTCTGCTCACGGCACACTGGGAACAGGTTCCAGCTGTTCTTCTGCCTCACTAATGTCTGACTCTGAAGGCAGCTGATAACTGGCATACGGCTCTGGCCCCCCTCTCTGCCTCCGACACAGAGCCCTCCCCAGAGCCTTACTCAGACTCCAAGACTGGCCCATCTTCCTCCCCAACCTCCCCACTGTCCAAATCTATTGCCAGCTCTGCTGGCCACTGGCGGGCCACAACACCCAGGAGGACAAGAATGCCATGTCATGAAGAGGTTAGCCTTAACACCACGGGTGTCCAAGCGTGGCAGCTTTGAAGACCAGTGGACTTCAACTCCCAGAATTCCAGGCTGGGGAGGATTGCATGGCTGGCGGAGAATTCTGGGAGTTGAAGTCCACCAGGCCTCAAAGTTCTCGAGGTTGCCTTAAACTGTACCAGAAAAGTGACAAGGGAGTAAAAACCCCTTGGGGTGGGGTGGGGTGGTGTCAAATGTCATTTTGGGAGTCCGTTCCTTACTTCTTGTGCTGCGTGGTCTTCCTCCGCCCCCAGATCAGCCGAGAGTCTCTCGCTTGGCCCCTAAATGCACAAGAAGAATTACTGCTAGCGTCTCCCTTTTGGCCCTCCAGAAGTGGCAGCTTCCTCTCCCCATCGGCCCAGCTGGGGAGGCAGGATCAGGAATAGCAATAGCGAGCCGAGGTGGCGCAGTGGGTAGAGTGCAGTACTGCAGGCCACTTCAGCTGACTGCTAGTTCGGCGGTTCAAATCTCACCGACTCAAGGTTGACTCAGCCTTCCATCCTTCCGAGGTGGGTGAAATGAGGACCCGGATTGTTGTTGGGGGCGATATGCTGACTCTGTAANTCCTCAGGTCTGCCGTTGGATTGCTTTTTGCTGCTCCCTTCCATCACCTGAACGTCGACACTTCTGCGGACTTTGGGAATTTGAGGGCTGGCTGGGTGCAGAGGGGAGGGGAGCTACAGTGCAGGGGTCGGCTCCTGCAGACCCCTTCCCCACGGAGGTCACTTTGGCTCCCCCATTAAGGAACCAGAAGGAAGCACGGCCGGATTGCTGGCTGCTCCTTTGAACGGGCCAATTTCTCCTGGAGAGAGAGGGGGAAGCCAGAGGGGCAGTTGGTGCGTGAGTGGGGAGGGGCTCTACCAGTTGATGAAAGGGGGGGTGTTGAGAAGACAGTGGGAAGACTTGGCTTTGGGAACAAGGCCGATGGCCGTGGGCTTCTCTCTCACGGGTCACCAAGAGCCTAACGGAACTGAACCCACCGGGCCGGATGTTGCCACCGGAGCGATTGCTCTGATAAAGAGTCCGTGGCATGAAATCCGTTGCTTGTGGTCAGATCCCGGTGACCAGGAGACTCTGTGGCCTCCACCCACTGCAGGCAGGATCTACTGGATCTACTAGATCAGTTCACCCCCAGCAACTGATGGACCCGGTTTCAGAAGAGGGTTGGAATTGTTCCTGTCGGTAGGCAGCCCATCCAAAGCTTCCTCTATCGAGGAGGCACCTATCCTGCGGGGCACCCCTCCTTCCCTCCCCACCCCAAGACCCGGTTGTGTCAGCAGGTTTGGGGGGGGGGGGATGCCCCAGGGAACTAGACATTCAACCTTGTAGTTGATTCTTTACTGCCTCAGTATGGTTTGTATATTTTATATTTATACGGTGCTTTTTCAAACATTTCCCCATGCCTACGCGTGCTTTACGGATTGTTGCATGCAATCCAGCATCGGTTTTGGAGGCCAGATCAATGCGACAAACATTCTCAAGGTGAGAATGGAAACTCAACTCTTCCCGCTCTGAATCCGAGGACGTTTTTAAGGGTGTCGGAACGGAGATGCAAACTGGCTCACTCTCTCTCTGACGCAGGCTGTAAAAGGCAGCTTTCAATTCTTTCCATTAAGGCTAATTGTAGATCACCAGGTGGGATGACACTCTGGGTCGATTGGCACAAAAACCGCTCCGCCCGCCCCCCCCCCCCATTTCCCCCCCGAGGCGAGAACCCCCCCCCCCGGTCCCCGCACCCCTGGGAAGACTCTGCTTCATCCCGTTGCACTCCGAGAAGATTAAACTCGGCTCT